AGACCCTCTGAACCCCAACACTCTCCCATGGCATGATCTGAAGATCCAGGAGGGAGTGTGGAGGAAGAGGAAGGAGAGAGGTGTCTGCTTGAGGTGTGAGGGACAGCACTTCCTGAAGGACTGTCCCTACATGCCAAGCCCAGCTCAGTCAAAAAACTGAAGCTGAACCTGGAGACAACAGTTCCCTCCAGTGCTGCAACTGCATCTGCAGCTGCAGCAGCTTCAGTTGAGACTTCTTCCTTCCCATCCAGTGTGGGAGCTGCACGGGCAGCATCCTTTACATATGAGGATCCTGACCCGGATCAGGAACCGGACCAGTCTGAGTCACAGGCTTTTGCTGTTTTTTTCTTTCATCTGAAAGAACAAAAGCAGAACAAGTCTGATCTCATCCTGCTTCGGCCCCTGATCAACCATCGCAGGATCAAAGGGCTATTAGACTGTGGAGCCACTCGCAACTTCATGTCTCCCAGTGCAGTCCAAAAACTGCATCTGGGCATGAAAGTGGTGCAGCTGCAGCAACCGCTACAGGTCCGCATAGGGGACTCCACTGTTCTGACCATCAGGGAGAAGGTCAGGGGTATCCCTGTTACCTTCGACAGTGCTGGAGAGGTCAGACATAGTCTGAACTTCTACATCTTCCCTGACCTACCCTTTGACCTTGTGTTCTCTATGCAGTGGCTGAGAGCAGTCAACCCAAGGATCGACTGGCAGATCCCCAAGGTTGAACTGCCAAACAGCAAGGGGGTATATCAGCCTTGTATGCTTGCAACTGATTACCACCCTCAGACCTCTTGCTTTTGCTTGAGAGCGAAAGAGTTTTATGCTCTCTCTCGCCAGTATGATCATGAGCGTCTGTTCATCGCTCTGGTCAAGCAGACAGACGCTCCCTCTACTCCCTGTCCTCCTGAGGTATAGCAGGTTGTGGACCAGTATGCTGATCTGATGCAGGAGCCATTTGGGTTACCCAACCGGCCAACCAAGCATCGTATTGAGTTGCTGCCTGAAGCGGTCCCTCCCAAGGGCCGCATCTACAGGATGTCACCTGCTGAGCTCGAGGAGCTCAGGCGACAGCTTGAGACCCTGACCAGCAAAGGCTGGATCAGGCCCAACACTTTTGAATTCGGTGCTCCGGTCCTCTTTGTCCCAAGGTGAGTGGGGAATTCAGAATGTGCATCGACTACAGGGGTCTCAACAAGATCACTAGGAAGAGTACAGAGCCACTCCCTAGGATCGACGACCTTCTGGATATGGTCCAGGGTTGCACAATTTTCAGCAAAGTCGACCTCAAGTCTGGGTATCACCAGATTGAGATGGCAGAGGAGGACGTCCACAAGACGGCCTTCAAAACCAGGTATGGTACTTATGAGTACCTGGTGATGCCATTTGGACTCTGCAATGCACCTGGTACATTCCAGACTGAGATGCACCGCATATTCAGGCCGTACCTGGATAAGTTTATGGTTGTCTACCTGGATGATATCCTGGTATTCAGCAAAACTACCAGGGAACGTGCGGAGCACCTGGCTCTAGTCCTTCAGTCGTTACGTGACAACCAGTACAAGATCAACAGGGAAAAATCCTCTTTTGGAGTTCCCTCTGTTATCTACCTGGGTCATGTAATCTTTGGAGATCGTTTGGCCCCTGAAGCAGCTAAGGTTGCTGCTATTCAGGATTGGCCACAGCCTCAGACAGTGAGAGATGTCCGATCATTCTTGGGTCTGGCCTCCTACTACAGAAAGTTCATCAGGAACTTTTCTGCTGTGGCTGCACCCCTGACTAACCTCACGAAGAAAGACACTCCCTTTCTTTGGTCCCTCCACTGTCAGATGGCCTTTGCACGACTCAAACAGGCCTTGACTCGTGCGCCTGTTCTGAAGTTGCCTGACCCCACTCTGCCATTTGTTCTCACCACTGACGCCAGTCAGTATGGCATTGGGGCAGTCCTTCAGCAGGATGATGGTAATGGTCTGAGACCTGTAGAGTTTATGAGTAAGAAGATCAAAACTCAGAAGCTTCAGAACTCTACCTACGAGAAAGAGCTCTATGCTCTTGTCAGTGCCCTGAAACATTGGAAGCACTTTCTCCTGGGCAGACACTTCAAGATCTTTTCTGATCATTCCACCTTGCAGTGGTTGAAGTCCCAGGGAGAGTTGAATGATAAACTGGCATGTTACATTCAGTTCATTGATCTGTTTGACTTTGAACTGAAGCATAAGAAGGGCTGCTACAACAAGGTAGCAGACGCCCTCTCTCGTAGGCCTGACTCTTTTGCGTTGATCTCCTCTACTCACTCCTTTGGAGAGGAGGTCCGTCAGACCATCGCTCGTTTGCTGCCTCAGGATCCGACTTATGGACCCATCGTCAGGAATCTGCAAGCAGATCCTAGTTCCGAACCTGGCTATGCGCTGAGTTCAGATCTGCTGTACACTTACAGTAGAGGAGAGGAGCGCTTGTGCATCCCTGAGGATCAGCAGTCGAGGGCACTGCTGATGTCAGAGTGCCACGACGCGCGTAGACACTTTGGGTTCCTAAAGTCATATGCAGCCCTGTCGCAGCGCTTCTTCTGGAAGGAGATGCGGAGTGATATGCTGCGCTATGTGGACACGTGTGAGCTCTGCCAAAGGAACAAGGTTCAACGTAAACCTCCTTTGGGATTGCTCAAACCTTTGCCCATACCTGATAGTCCTGCCCAGTCTGTGTCTATTGATTTCACAGACTTAGGCAAGACTACCCCTCGTGGCATGCGTCAGGTCATGGTCTGCGTGGACAAGTTCTCCAAATACGCAGAGTTCATCCCCTTGCCAGAGGTAACCAGGGTACTGGCTGTGAGAGCAGCCTTTTCTGAGAGGTGGGTCACACACCATGGACCGCCCACCTCTATTGTGAGTGATCGAGACCCCAGATTCTGCAGCGATGAGTGGCAGTCCTACTGCAAGGACTATCTGCACTCACGCCTGGACATGACTTCTGGTCGTCATCCTGAAGCCAATGGATTGGCTGAAGTGATGAACCAGGTCCTGTTCCAGTTGCTACGTCCTGTGATCTCCCCTGATCAGCAGGACTGGGATCTCCACTTGGCGAGGGCACAGCTCATGTATAACATGTATGTCCACTCGTCGACAGGGTTCAGTCCCTACCGACTACATTTAGGACATGAGCCACGACAGCCTCTCGATGATATCATCGACAAGGCTAAGCCTGACCTTACCCCAGACATTGCAGAGTTCGCCAGACGCTATCGTCTGGATGTGGGAAGAGCCCGGGCGAACTTGTTCAAGGCCCAAAAGGCCATGATTGAACAAGCAAACCGCCACAGGCAGCCTTCCCCCATCCGCACTAGTGACCATGTCTGGGTGGCCAGTTCTGAGTTGTCGAGGGAGGAGGATATTTCTCCCAAGCTGTTGCCACGCTACCTGGGTCCGTGGCAGGTTCTAGACACAGTGGGCGCTGATCCTTTTGGCCCATCGTACGTCATTGACGTGCCCCTGCATGTACGAACCTATCCGGTCTTCCATGCATCTAAGCTGCTGCCTTTCATACCAGCTGATGCATTCCCGGACCGACCCCCTCAATGGGGCCCACCAATCCCTGGTAAGGGATATGATGTGGTGGCCATTGAGGACGAGTGGGGCACTGGCCCCGACCGGCAGTATCTTGTCAGGTTTGCATTCCAGCCTCCTTCTGAGAACCGGTTGTTCTACAGAAGAGACCTGATCAAGACAGCAAAGTCTGTAGTTCTGCGGTATGAGGCGTCCCAGAAGGGTGACCTTCGCCGCTCACCTCGTCTACACCCCTAGCTTGGAGGTCCTCGCTCCCGGGGAGGGTAAGCCTGCAATGACTTGCTGATTTCTGCTGCCGAGTTTGTCTGCGAGGCTGTACACTAACCGTAGGGTTAGATTCGCAATTTTGTTTGGCTGAGGGCTAANTGCAATGACTTGCTGATTTCTGCTGCCGAGTTTGTCTGCGAGGCTGTACACTAACCGTAGGGTTAGATTCGCAATTTTGTTTGGCTGAGGGCTAACCGAGTGACTTGCCTGTGGGGAAATTCGCGAGGGACAGACCTGTAATTCTGAGGGACTACAGGCCCTAAACTAACCGAATCCCTACTACTACCCTAACTGCCTATAGCAGGCCCGGGCTACCCTAGGACAGACAGGCCCTAAGCGGCCTATACTGGTATGCGGTCCTATAGCCTATAGCCGGGTCCGGTAGAGGCCGAGAGGCCGAGAAACAGCAACGGTACCGGTAGGTCCAGTCAGTCCAGTTTCGGTCTAGGCTAGTGTAGGAATCTATAAGTCTAGGAGGGAAACTGATAGGGGGACTTGTGGCTTTCATTTTTCGCATGCAGCGTTGGTGGCCAACCAAGTTGAGCAGCGCTGAATGTCTGCAGTGGCACCGGAGACATCAGCCGTGAGTGGAGCAGCCATAGCCCGCCACCTGAGACAGCCATAGCTGGGGCTGTACTCAGCGCATCTATCCCCTGGGGGATATCTGCGTTGGCAGGACTATCTGGGAGGTCTTCACAGAGTACATGTGGGTACTGCTGCTACGGTAGCAGCCAGGCAGCCATAGCTGTCTTCTTCATCGTCAGGGTGACTCATCGGCACTGGAGGCTACTTCGCTAATTCATGATCTGCATCTGGGTGTATGGCGCTGGCCTCTGGGAGGCTATTTCTGGGCAGCGCTAGACTCTGAGAGTGTGGTAGTGAGTGGAGTGTGTGGTTCCTGAGTGGCGAGATACTGGGTTGAACTCTGTTACGATAATTGAGGTTAACTGAGTTGAGTTGGCTCATCATCTGGGTTACTTTCCAATTGTGATCTTCGCAGTGTCAATTGTGATTGGTTGTTGGGAGTGTGTCAGGGAGAGAGAAACACTGAGTGTATTCTCCCCTTCTGTGCATAATTGCTATTCCGCTGTTTATCTTTGATCTGTGTGCAGTTGGACCCTGTCTCCTTCTCCCCTTTGTCTCATGCATGTATGGGCGTGTGTGAGTTCTTCTGAGTGAGAGTGGCAATCAAATTGTCAGACACCCAAGTTCATAACAACGGTTCCTTGTCAAGACTGTGTTTGTCCTCATGTATGGCGGGAAGAGAGCCATGCCATACATCTTTTTTTTTTTCTTTTTTTTCTGCAAACTTATTCCTGAGCTGTGTAGCACGAAAAATGTGTTCGCTCCCCTCTGCGTTTGCACGAACGCATCGCGAACGTGTTCGGGCGAGCATTTTTTTTTCTCGTAAAAAATACAATAAAATTCTGTTTTTGATTTTTAACTCACACTTGGCTAAGAATTTGAACACGACTCCAAGGCAAGAGTTGCTTGTATTGTTTTACATAACGTATGCTTTTTTTCAGATGTTTCTGAGATCTTTTTTTTTTTTTTTTTTTTTTTTTTTTAATGATCGCGCTCGGGGGGGTTTGGACGCTCGTTCGTGTTCGGGCAAACATGTTCGTTTTCGCCTCCGAATGCGAACACGATGCTACGCAGTTCACGAGTTTGTCGAAATGCTCCCACCGGCCCCGCGAACTCTCCCACGAGCCATGCCGTACATCGCATATGTGACCGCAAAAGTTGGTCAAGAACACTGTTCGTGTTCTGAAATCTGAAGACAAAACTCTCAACTGAAGTTCACAGTTGTAATTCTGCCCCTGCTTTGTGTCATTCACGATGCTGCAACTCGCCTCCAGGTTGGACTGCTTGGGCCAAATGGCGCTGGGAAGAGCTCAACTTTCAACATTGCTGTGGGCAGAGAGCGGCCAACCTCTGGAGGAGTGCGTCTTGGTGCTACTGACCTCACAGGCATGCCTTTGGAGAAAAGGGCAAGGCTCGGGATTGGTTACATGACTCAGGCAAGTAGGTGGATGGTCAATGTACCATTTCTCTGTGTTTCTGTTTGCCTGTGATCTCTCTTCAGTCTCGCTGTCTCTCTTCCGTTGGCTTGCGTGTCACTGTTCTGTTTGCCCTTGTCTTTATTCTCTTTGCCTATGTCTCTCTCTGCGTTTTTTTCAGTGTTTCGTTTGTGTGTCTCTCTCTTGCGATTCCGTTTTCCCATGTGGGATGACCCGACCAAACAGGGACTGAAACACACAGCTGATTTCTGAGTTTTGCTCATAGACTGAATGCCTTGCTGAGTTCCCCACTTGCTACTAAGTTCTCTAAGTCTGTGTGTATGCATGCTTGCTGGACTGCATGTCTGTCTGAGTGCTGGTTGGCTTGAGTGTGTGTGTGGCCCGCAAGGGCGCTTGTTCGTTCGTTGGGCCCTCAGGGCCGGTACTTACCTGTGGCTGTGACATTGAGGGATTGGAGCGGGGGGAAACGCTCAAGTAGCAGGTAGGCCAGTACCGCACCCTGAAGAGGTAGATGTGCGGGTACTGGAGGCCGAGCAGACGACAAAAGTGGCATTTTGAAGAGGCCCAGTAGTTGTAGGCTAGGTGTAGGCGGGTACCAGTCCAACCAGTCTGAGTCTAGGGCCCGTACGGGCAGTATCAGAGTCTGCAATGATGTTTCCCTCCGAAAGGGAGGAGGTACCGGTTGCTTGGGAAGGCCGAGCGGCCTGGAAGTCATCGCCCAAAAGGCAAGCAGGCCGCTATATCTCCAGGCCGGGCGAAGAGCCCAGTCTCATTGTTGGTGTGCAAGTTTGGCGACACACTGGTTGGAGCGCTGGCTGAAGCAGCGCTAGCTTGGAGCAGCGCTGCTGGGGAAGAAGCAAGGACTCGGAGGAGGAAGAAGGACAGGAAGGGAGAGGAGTGCCAGAGGTACTTACCTGGCTATGGTGGCAGCCATCTTCATCACCTTGGTGGGCGCTGCAGCAGGAAGGCCCCAGCTGGGGTTGAGCTACACCAAGAAGCTTTGAGGCAGAGTCAGGCATGGCGGCCTGAGCTAGGGCAGCCATATCTACTTTGGGTTGTCCTTTGGACATCTGGGCAAGGCCTAGTAGTCCGCCATAGCCTCGGCCTATGAGAGTGAAGAGTGGGGGAGGCGGCCATGGCTATGGTGGACCTCAAGTGATACCTGCAGTAGAAGAGGGATTCGGACTTTGATTCTGGTTCAGCTATCCAACATTGTACTATTATTTCTTGTGTGAATAAGAGAGGAGGAGATGAGGAGGAAAAGAGGGTTGAGCGAAGAAGAAGAGCTTTATCATTTGTCTACGCTTGTGTACATCATCTTCTCCTTCTTTCTTACTTCTTGTTCTTCTTCTAACCTTTTCTCTCCTCTCAAGTTTATTCATTTCTTTCTGCATTCGGACAGCATTGTACTACCTGATGAACGTGTATCTCGAAATTGGCCAGGATCATAGCACGTGTCTCTGTTTCGTTTGCCTGTGCCTCTGTTCCATCTGTCTGTGGACGCGTTGGGAAGTCAAACAATGTATGGTCAACTCACTCCACCCCAAGTTTTGTTATCCAGATGTATGACCTAACTCCACTTTTCTTAGCCTTGACTTCCCCCC